GAGTTTCACTCTTTGCCCAGGCTGGAGTGCAGTGGCGCGATCTTGGCCCACTGCTACCTCCGCCTCCTGGGTTCAAGCCATTCTCTTGCCTCGGCCTACTGAGTAGCCAGGATGATAGGCATGCACCACCACGCCCAGCTAATTTTTATATTTTTTAAAGTAGAGACAGGGTTTCACCACGTTGCCCAGGCTGGTCTTGAATTCCTGGACTCAAGAGTCCCACCTGCCTTGGTCTCCCAAAGTGCTGGGATTGCAGGCATGAGACACTGTGCCTGGCACTTTTTTTTTTTAGATGGAGTCTCGATGTGTTGCCCAGGCTGGAGTGCAGTGGTGCGATCTTGGCTCACTACAACCTCAAGCAATTCTCCCTCCTCAGCCTCCGAGTAGCTGGGACTATAGGTGCGCACCGCCATGCCCAGCTAATTTTTGTAGCTTTAGTAGAGACGAGGTTTCACCATGTTAGTCAGGCTGTTCTTGAACTCCTGACCTTGTGATCCGCCCGCTTTGGCCTCCCAAAGTGCTGGAATTACAGGCGTGAGCCACTGCACCTGGCTACTTCTTAAGATTTATTTCAGAAATCCTGGGACATCATTTCTGCCGCATTCTAATGATAAAAAAAAAAATCATTAAGTCTGGCTCAGATTAAGGGGAGGAGAATTAGACATCTCTCAATTTTATACATTAAGAGATGTCTAATTCTTATGAACAGCATGCATAAAATTGACAGTGACCATCTTTGGAGACTAAATACCATAGTCTGTCTTCTAGCAATTGAAATTCACATCCCTCCCATATACAAAATACACTCATCTCCTTCCCATGACCCACAAAGTCTCATCTCATTAAGGCATCAATTTGAAGTCTTTGATTGTATTATCTGAGACAGGCCCAGAGATATGAACAAGGCTTCTCATGTGCAGTTTCTGCAGGACAGCTCCTCAAAAGCGGTTCCTCTTGGCCTGAGGTCCTGTGAAGAACACAGTCAATGTTCACAGGCGAAATGAAGATAGATAACTGCCATCCAGGCTTGGTGGCTCACGCCTGTAATCCAGCACTTTGGGAGGCCAAAGTGGGTGGATCACTTGAGGTCAGGAGTTCAAGACCAGCCTGGCCAATGTGGCAAAACTCTGTCTCTACTAAAAATACAAAAATTAGCTTGGCGTGGTGGTGCACAACTGTAATCCCAGCTACTCGGGAGGCTGAGGCCGGAGAATCGCTTGAAACTGGGAGGCAGAGATTGCAGTGAGATGAGATCACACCACTGAACTCCAGCCTGGGTGACAGAGTGAGACTCTGTTCAAAAAACAAACAAACAAACAAACAAAAATATAACAGCCATAAACACTCCTTTTCTAAAGGGGGCGGTGGTGTATTGGAGGCACAGATTGGTGCATTGGGTCCATAGCAATTCTGAAATTGAGTCATATACGTGTCCCCAGATTTTTGACTAGGGCCCAGTTCTGCCCTCTATAAATGGTTCTCGGCTCTTGGCTCCTAGGTTCTTGACTTCATTTTCTGAGTTAACTCTCTATTTTCCATAAGAAGTATCTGTGTTGGCCGGGCATGGTGGCTCATGCCTGTAATCCCAGCACTTTGGGAGGCCGAGGTAGGCGGATCACTTAAGGTTGGGAGTTCGAGGCCAGCTTGACCAACATGTAGAAACCCTGTCTCTACTAAAAATACAAAATTAGCCGGGTGTGGTGGCATGTGCCTATAATCCCAGGTACTCGGGAGTCTGAGGCAGGAGAATCTCTTGAACTTGGGAGGCAGAGGTTGTGGTGAGCCGAGACTGTGCCACTGCACTCCAGCCTGGGCAACAAGAGCAAAACTCCAT